AAATCTCAAAAAAGTCAAGAAAAACAAAACACAACACAACCTAATAACAGCCCCTGCTTTCAGTAGGCCCAGCAGCTCTCTTCCAGGCAGCGTCGTTCATCTGGGCTCCTGGGTGCTGGGAAAATGATCACCAGCAAAGCTGAGCAAGCATGGACCACACAGACACCTACAAAACTGTTAGGTGCTATGAAAGGAAGGGCAGGGGGCCAGGAACAGACACAGGGACTGAACCCAGGATGGGGGTGGTGAGGAAGGGAGAAATCTGCCCAAGAGCCAGCCAGGCCAACAGTTCCACTGAGAGCTGGCCTCTCACTGGCCTGCCAACGAGGCAGCTGGGCCCGAGCCACACCCACGGTCAGGAGCTTCCTCGTCCCCTCCTCTCCTGTCTGCACTTCTCTGGCCTTTGTCTCTCTCTCCCCTGGATCCTGCCTGCACGTGGGCAGGCACCAGGACCTTCCCTACTGCTTCGTTCTCTTTACAAGACAGACTGGATACAGAACACACTTTGCCAGGCTGACAGGGAGGGTGTCTCTGCTCCCAAGTCAAAACCACATCACCCAGCCGGCACCTGCGGAGTCAGCATGCGCTCCTGACCCCCAGGTGATACCCTTTCAGGCCGCTGGCATTAGGGTCTCTTTACAAGTTCATCTGAGTGCAGTTTATGTTCCGACCGTGCCTGACTATGTAGCAGTCGGAAGCTAACTGCCCTCAATCACACACGAGTTCAACCTGTCTGTCCTGAACACCATTAGCCCCTTAAGGGCGGAAACTGTATCCTGATTTCTCAGCTGCATTTCCTGAGCACCCTCAGCCCAAAGCAGGTGTTCAAAGGTTCCGATTTCACCCACATTTTCCTTAGGCTGGATCTCTACCCACCTCCCCCCCAGGAAACCTGGCTTTCACACTCACCGTATATGGGGACCTGATGGACGGTCATGGTCTCATCCGTGTATTCCGGCGCAGAGTGGGGCCGCACAGCTATGTGAAAACCACACAGTAGGAAGAGTGAAAGAGTGATGACTTTGGTAAAGACGTGAGTGCGAATTAACTTCCAAGATCACCAACCACAAACAACTGAATTGCTCAGGTTTTCGTGGGCATCTGCCACAAAAACCAAAATTTGAGTAGATTAACATTTAGGAAAAGAAACAAAACTGAATTTTCATCAATTACTTATATTTGCTACAGTAAATGCACATGACATCATCACTGGTGAATATCTATTTCAAAAATGTACAAAGAAACCAACATACAAATTTTAGAAGACAAGGTTAACAAACAAGACTGTGAGCCTGGAGAAATCTATCACTCAACTCTAAGAGGCAGGAAATGAAATGAAACATCGGCGCTCCTAGGGAAGAGCAGCATTAACCAGCCAAGGCACAACTGGCCCAGGACCAGGGCCCGGCGGCATCCGGGGTTAGGGCTCCCGCCATCACAGGAGCCCAGGAAAGGTGGCTTTACCGCCTACTGACACTCACACTGCCTCCTCCTCCTGCAAGGCCTTCCCAGTTCCGAGCGCCTCCCCGAGAGGCAGGGAGAGCCCTGCTGCCTGAGCAGAGACTGCCCTACGGAATCACTTCGGCCCACCTTGCCCGTACTCGTGCAGCAAAAGGAGAGGGCACACACGGTGCGATAAGGGAAGATTTAAAAAATCCATCTCGAGTCACAGAGGTGTCTGGTTTAGGTCAAGTGTTAATGGATTCTAATTTGAAAGTTCAGAACACAGACGAGAAACAGCAGATAACGAACCACAGCCAAGGACATACCTAGGTTGATTCCTTTCAGTGGGCCAGAAAATATTTTCATTGCTTCTAGGAATTTCTCCTAAAAAAGTAGAAAAAGAAGGGAGTGGTTATGGCTGAACAGAGAACAGAGCAAGGCATTCAAGTATTTACAGGGCACCAACACCACCTTTAGTAAGTATTCTGGACATCGCTTATGTACGAATAACTACTGAGTAGTCACTGTGCTGGAATGCCAAGGACTCAGCAGTGACAAGGAGACAGAGCCCTTGCTCTCATGAAGCCAGCAGATGACACAAAGATAAAGGTCCCAAACAGCAGCTCAGAGGCAGTTATGATAAGTCCTCCACAAGAAAAAAAAATTCAGGCGGCTGGGAGCTGACCTAGGAGCCGGGCCTGGAAGTTTGGTCAGGACACAGGCAGGGAGGAGAGGCGGCAGGGGGAACGCGTGTGTGGATGAACGCTCTGAGCGGCCAGGGTTTCTGGTGGGGCAGAGGTCAGGGTCAGCCCAGGCAGCAGCAGCAGCTGGGCGACTGTGGAGATGCACGCGTGGGCACGGCTCTCCAGTTTGTGCGGGCCGTAACAAGGCCTGCAAGGCCACGGACAGCCCTTGGAAGGGTTCAGGTTGGGAAACCCCAGGCCGTATTTGTATTTGCATCTTAAAGTGGGCTCTCTGGCTGCTGTGCGGCCAACGGGGAGGCAGGACTGGACTTGCAGGCCACTGTGGACCGAGAGGATGAGGGTCTCAATGAGACGGAGACACATGGACGATTTCAGATGCTATTCTGGAGGCAGAATTAACAGGATTTTTTTGATTGGTCACCTTCCTTCTAAAGAACTGGGAAATGAACGCTTGTACTAGCATGAACACCACTTCACCACCACGCAGTAAGTGGGCTTAGAAAGTATGAAGCTGTCTGAAGCATCATAAAAGAACAAAAACAAAAGCTAACGTTTATTAGCTACTTGGTGTCAGATGTTAAAATCATCTTACGTTTCCTGTTTGTTACCTCATCTCTAGCGATTTCATGAAATGCTATAGCCATTTCATAGATGAAGAAACAGACTCAGGTAAAGTAACCCACTCAAGGCCACACAGTCAACGTTTTCAACTAAGGTCTAATTTAATTTGAGAGGTGATCTTTACTTTTATAAAAATTCTTGTTGCCAACATTAAATGTTGACCAGCACTGTGGCGCAGCAGATTAAGGGGCCGCCTGCGACACTGACGTCCCATATGGGAGCACTGGTTCAAGTCCCGAATGCTCCCTGCTAATACCCTGGGAAGGCAGCAGACAATGGCCCAGGTACTGGGATCCCTACCACACGTGTGGGAGATGAGGATGTGGCTCCTGGTTTCAGCATGGCCCAGATCGGGCTGTTGCAGCCATCTGGAGAGTGAACCACTGAATGGAAGCATGCTCTCTTGCTCTGTCTCTCCCCTTCTTTCTCTCTGTTTCAAGTAAATCTTATTAAAAATAAGAGGTTGCCTTTGAAAGAGGAGTCGGGACACACTCACCAGCTGAGGAGGTCCAGAAAGCACACACTTTGGAAGCCCAGTTTCCTTTAAAGTGAGGATCATTCCTGAAAAGGGCGAAGAAAATCAGATCTCTTATTGGCTGGCAGACCTGACTTCACCCGTGTGTCACTCCTGCTTCTAAACATTCGCACAAAGGCGCTGCGAGCTGGGGTAGCAGGAACACCAAGCACTCCCCTGCCCCGTGCGGAGCTGACACCAGGGAGGGGTGCCTGCCTGCTTTTCGTGAACAGGTGCTCACTGCCAGGACTGTGCCAACAGAGGGGCCCTCACCTCCCGCACCCTGGGCCCCTATCGGGCATCTCCCAGGTCTCGGCTCTGAGACAGGGACTCCTTCCTTGCACAGCACCACGCTTACAGAGTTTGGCTGCAGCACAGTCTGGACCGGCGGGTGTCCGTGCCACGGTTTACCGCAGTCACCACGACACTCGCAGGTTCACGGCCACGCAGGCCACCAGGTGCCATCACCTGCAGACAGCACGCACGCTGAAGTCCGCTCCTCCACCTCACAGCTCTCTCAACTCCACGGCGGCGGACTGCGCTGCCACAGCTACCCTCAGCTCAGAAAACGGGCAAAAAAGGAGGAGGACACTCACCGCACAAGCCCCCCACGTTGGCCCAGTGCATCCGCGTCAGGAATATGTTGTCCAGGCGGGCCACCTTCAGCCTGGGAAGCAGAAAACACGGGTGCGGGATAAAACGGCCGGACCGCCGACCCTCTCCTTCCTCCTCCTCTCCTCCCAGCATCCACACCCCGTCATCATCTCCACCCGAAAAGCACCTGCCCGACTCACTTGTGCTCCTGCATGAGTCGCTGCACGCCTTCTCCGCAGTTGAAGAGATACCTACGGGTGGAAGATTCCAGAAGACACTCGGAAGTCTGTTTCCTAAATAAAAAATCTCTTGCATGGGTTAAAGCGCTTTGTCGCAGACTTGGGGGAAAAACACACGCAAAAACACATAGTCCTCGATGTTGCACTCTGAGGGTGCGTTCTTGCTGTTAGCACGGTGGGCCTTAAGCTTTCCTTAGGGGACAGGAGCAGGCTGGCGGGGGGGGGGGGCGGGAAGGGGCAGGTGCTTCTTCCCGGGCCCTGTCTGCTACGACGCACGCCAAGTAAGCAGGGTGCGGCCCGGAGCGTGCTGAGAGCGCTGCAGGAGAGGCCGCGTTAGCCTGTGAAGCTCGTCCCCGCTCCCCCAGAAACCGTGGCCCCCACCCGCGGCCCGGAGCCGGGGCCAACCGTGAAATCCCCCAGTGGGCGGCAGGGGACATGAGGGACATGGAGGCCCCGGGGCTGCACAGCCCTGAGGGTCCGCGAGGGAGGGAACGGAACGCGACCGCCGCCCGGAGGCGCGCACCGACCGGTTGTACTCGGAGAAGACGTAGAGAGCAGCGCCCGCATCCCGGCCGCCGGCCGCCACCACCTGCAGGTACACGGTGTTCGGGCCCCCGGGCACCCACGACAGAACGCGCTTCTCCCGCGCGCGCAGGTGCCGCAGCAGGTCCTTGGGCGGCCGCTGGCGACGCGCCGGTCCCTGCGACATGGTGCGCCCGGCCACCGACCGCCACAGCGACCGAAGCGTCCACATGCGCCTGTGTCTCCACCTGGGCTCAGACAGCCGCCGGTCACCTCCGTCCGCGTGCCTCAAGTACCGCCTCTACGCTCCGCGTGGCCCGCCCAGCCAATCAGAGGGCCTCGAGCTGAACTGCCCGCCTACACGTTGTAGCGCATCCAATAGAAAGGAGTCTTGGCTATCGGGACTTGTCAACTGACGGCGACCATAGAGTGGAGGCATGCTAGAGTGTCATTATCCCTTGTCCCTTCCGGAAACTGTTTCTCTGGCTAGGGCGGGACTTCCGGTGGCTCAGGGCAGCAAAAAGCAATAGGGTTGGGAAAAGTCGATTGCTGTGGTTTTGCTGGCGAGAATCCCGTCTCCTCGAATTACGAGCGGTGCTCCTAGGCAAATTAACCACTCAGAGCTTTGATTTATTCTCGTGATGGTCGCTGAGGATTCAATGGGAGGACGAAAATTACGTCGAGTTTTCGGATTTTATTTTTGAACGCCTGTTTCGAATGACGGTTCTTGGTGGCTGTTGGAAAGAAAAGCAAGAATCTTAAATCGTTCATTAACCGAGTGACTTTGGCCCCTCCGGGTCAGTTTTGTCATCTGTAAAGTGGGAATAGGAACTGGCTACCTCGGTAGGTTTTTTCAGAATGCAGTCGCCGCATGTCCACAGTGCTTCGAGTGGCACAGAAGCAGCGGCGTTCGATAAATGGGAGCAAATTAAAGAGCAGGTATTACAGTTAAACTGCTGTGGCTGGAGTCGGGGGCCAGGTGGCATCCCAGGGCTAGCTGACCCATCGCAGCCCTTTGAAAAGAAGGACCGAGGACCCACACAGGCGGCTCCGGAGTGCTTCCCGCCAGAAATGCAGGGAGCTGGGGCTGGGGGAGACCCAGCTGTCCCACTGCCCACCTGGCTCCCCGGTAACTCCCCTGGAAAACGGCTCGAGGATCAGGCCTCTGCCACTCCCGTGGGAGACCCTGACGGAGATCCCGCCTGCTGGCTTTGGCCTGGCCCAGCCCTGCGGAGTGGACCAGTGGAGAGCAAATTCTGCGCTCTCCCTCTCTCTCTCCCATCCTGCCTTTTAATTCAGTGGAGGAAGGAGGGAGGGCGACGGGAAGGGAGGAAAGGAAGGGAATACGGTGAGCTCGGCGCCCTTGCACGGTCTCCATCTGGGCAGGCCGTGCTCTGGCTGGCCTGCTTGGTGCGGTGGCTGGAGCAGGTCAGGCCCAGAAGCCAAAGCAAGTCCCGGCGCCCAGCTAGGTTGCCAGGGAGGGGGAAGGACCTTCCTCCTGATGGGAAGAGTAGGGGCCTTGAAACAGAGGGGTCCAGAGCTCCCCCTGTGGAATAACCCGGTTTTCTACAAGCACAGGTCCAAAGGCGCTTTCTGGCATACTGAGACCCTTGGAAGTGCGGCTGCCTCGCCCTCAGCCATCTCTTGGGTGTGTTCATAAATCGGATCTGTGCACCCATCAAGCCGAGGTGGGTCCTGGCTCCCAGGCTCCCCTGCTGAGAGACACCTACGCGGGGCTCTGTCCGAGGCACCCACTGCCATTCCCACATGTACAATCATTCATTCAACCAACAGGTATGTACCGAGCTTCTCTGAGGTTCTGCATACAGTCTGGTATCACACTGCAGTCAACAAGACCGAGGTGAGGTACAACGGTGGGCCTATAAGGTTGTATTGCTGGGGCTGGTGCTGTGGCGCAGCGGGTTAACACCCTGGCCTGAAGCGCCAGCATCTCATATGGGTGCTGGTTCTGATCCCGGCTGCTCCACTTCCGATCCAGATCTCTGCTATGGCCTGGGAAAGCAGCAGAAGATGGCCCAAGTCCTTGGGCCCCTGCACCCACATGTGGGAGACCCAGAAGAAGCCCCTGGCTCCTGGCTTCAGATCAGCACAGCTCCGCTGTAGCAGCCATCTGGGGAGTGAACCAGTGGATGGAAGACCTCTCTCTCTCTCTACCTCTCTCTGTAACTCTTTCAAATAAATAAAATAAATCTTTAAAAAATAAATTACATTGCTTAGTGAGACTATGACCATCCAGCAAACTGTGATACTCATACAGAGACAATATTGCCCAGCACCACATTTCTAGCACATACCCTCTATCCTTGAGTGACACCTGCCTGTACTAAGAACCCTGGTATACAGATATGAACAACACCAGCAAAGACTCAGCCTCAGAAAACCCTGGAGGTGCGGCCCCAGAGCACACACAGGTCAGGGTCACGAGAATTGGGCCCACGATGCTTTCCTCTGTGTTGGGCCTAATTTCTGCTGAGTTCTAGATGCAGACCCCCAGGAATCAGACCACTCCAAATATGCTGGCCATCACAGGTCTGAAGGAGGTGCTTTAATCGCAGGGTATGGTGCAGCTGGTTCAGGCACTGCTTGGGACGCCCGCATCCCATGTCAGAGTGCCTGTTGTCCAGTCCTGTGTGCTCCCAGTGCAGCCCCTGCTAATGTACCCGGGAGGTAGTGGCTCATGGCCCGAGTACTTGGGTTCCTGCCACCTACCTGAGAGACACAGATGGACTTCCTGGCTTCTGGCTTAGGCCTGGCCCAGTCCTGGCTGGCTGTAGGCATTTGGGGAAGCTGCAGATGGAAGACTCTCTCCCTCCCTCCCTTCCTCTCTCCCTCACTCTGCCTTTCAAATAAATATATATATATATATTTTTTTTTTGACAGGCAGAGTTAGACAGTGAGAGAGACAGAGAGAAAGGTCTTCCTTCCGTTGGTTCACCCCCCAAATGGCTGCTACTGCTGGGGCTGCGTGGATCTGAAGCCAGAAGCCAGGTGCTTCCTCCTGGTCTCCCATGCGGGCCCAGGGCCCAAGGACCTGGGCCATCCTCCACTGCACTCCCCGGCCACAGCAGAGATCTGGACTGGAAGAGCGGCAACTGGGACAGAATCCGGCGCCCCAACCGGGACTAGAACCCAGGATGCCAGTGCCGCAGGCGGAGGATTAGCCAAGTGAGCCGTGGCGCCAGCCTCAAATAAATTTTTTTAAAATAAAGGAAAAGTTATTCTGAAACAATCACAAAGACAGATTACATCGCCCTTGAGCAGGCTTTCAAACTGTGTTTGGTTACTAAGGACTTGGCAGCCTCACAAGCAGGAGCTGCTAGGTGAGTCTAGCAGCCCGATTCTAGAATAGGCACGTTTGCCCCTCTCCTGTCATGCAGGCATGGGCAGGTGTGCTGGTTACACACCTCGCCTACTGATCTCATCGCGTGTATTACAGCATCAAATGCTCCTAACAGCATTACTGGGATTAAATTGCTGTTTCCACTCCAAGGAAGCCAAGTTCAAGGAGCTTTATAGTTGGCTGCCGTCTACACAGCCGCCTCTATAGTCTGTAGGCTTAGCCAACATGCCAGCCGTGTCACGCATTGGAAACAGTATTTATATCTTTTCACTGAGATGTCCCATTCAGGAGGAGCCTCAGATGGAAACTATATTTCTTTCTTTTTTTAAAAAAATATTTACTTATTTGAAAGAGTTACAAGGAAAGGGAGAGAGAGCGCGTCCATCCTCTGGTTCACTCCCCAAATGGTCACCATGGCTACAGCTGGACCAGGCTGAAGCCAGGAGCCTGGAGCCCCATCCAGGTCTCTCACATGGGTGCAGGGGCCCAAACTCTCAGCCATCACCTGCTGCCTTCCCAGGCTCGTTAGTAGGGAGCTGGGTCTGAAGTGGAGCAGCAGGCACTGGAAATGGCAGATTAGGTGGCACCTACAGTGCTGGGTTACTCCACTGTGCCACTCTTCTGAGGCCTTTGTTCTTGGCCTGCACATGGCCACCTCCCCGCATGGCTACAGTCACCCCTCTGTGCACAGAGACATCCCAGCTGAATCCCTGTGTGCTTTCAACTCCCTTCTTAAGGGACACCAGCAAGCTTAGGTTAGAGCCCACGTGAGGGACCTCATTTTAACTGAAGACCCCATCTCCTAATACAGTAATCCCCCTTATCTGTAGGGGGTACAGCCCACGAACCCCACGGTGCGCCTAAAACCACTGAGAATACCCAGCTTGGCGTATACCGTGCCTTGTCCTATTTATACAGACCCACGATAAAGTTTAATTTATAAACTAGGCCCAGTAAATGCAGTAACCACAGCTAATAATCAAACAGGACAATTATAACCGTATTCTGTGATAACACTGCCGGCATCACTACTCTCACATTTCCAGGGGGTCCATTAGGAAGTAAACTAAAGGGTCACTTCACCACAGGCACTGCGATGCTGCCACCGTCCACCTAATAACTGACACAGCCGAGTGACGAGCACGTGAGTGGTGCCTACAGCGTGGACACCCTGCAGGGAAGGGTGAGAGGCACCCTCCCCCCAGGGTGCCATAGCATGAGATGTCACCACGCCAGCAGTGGATGATTTCTGGGATTTTCCACCTCATGCTTTCAGATCACAGCTGTCTGTGGGTGGCAGATGCTGTGAAAAGTCAAAGGGTGGTTAAGTTACTTCCGAGGCAAGGGGTTAGGGCTTCAGTGAACGCACTGGGAAGGCGGGGATGCCATTCTGCCCCTTGCATCTCCCAGCTCCCATATCCTCCTCCCTCACCCCCTTATCCCCAGGCCCCCTCGGGCTGTCAGGGTGTCCACCATCCCTGGGCTTCAGCAAGGACAGAGCCTCAGGGTCTTTCTCCCTCTACGTGTGACCCCAGCCTGAAGCTCTGAACCACACAGTCTGACACGGGGGCTGCCCGCACTCAGGCTCCTGCGCCCAGGCAGAGGGGCTTTGAGACAACTGTCTCCACCCGCCTGGAGCAGTCTCAGCAGCTGAGGGGGAGCGAGCCCCTTCCCCTCATTTGGGGGTGGGGGTGCGCTCGCTCAGTGAGCCCTGGAGCAGTCACCTCCCCTAGGATTCTACAACCTGGGTCACAGCGCAGGGCCGGCCGCAGGGTGCGATACGCTCCTCTGACCACTAGAGGGCACCGTAGCACACACGGCCACCTTCCTGGTCCAGCTATTTTTGTTTTATAAACTTATTTTTGGTGCCTACCAAGCTAAGAATTGTGATGCCCATTAAAAAACACACACATACACACATTAAAAAAAACCTCTTCGGAGCTTACTAGCAGGAGTCTGGCAAATAAGAACCATGGTATTTCTTCCCTGCCCCTGTGGACTGAGCACTTCCCAGCCTATAGTAGATCCCATAGTTGGCATTTGCAGGGGCGTTTTCTGCCCTTGGGTGGAAGCCAGGCGTGTGGTGCTGAGATCGGTTCTTCTTCCCAGGGTGCCCCTTCTTCCACTAGGAGCAGCAAGGGAGAGCTACATGTCGGGGCTCAGGAGGGAGAGAACACGGCACCGCAGGTGCTTCGCCTCTGAAATCCTCGGGTTAGGGAAGACAGCGATTGCTGGGCAGACGGGATTTCTCTGGCGGAAAGGTGAGAGAACAGAGTCTCCCGGGGCTGAGGGTGACAGCTGGGGTGCACCTTGTATCCTGGGAGACCGAGCCTGGGGTGGAACGGTTGCTTGAGGGACCTAGGGTATTTCTGACAATGATGGCGGACTTCTGAGATCTCTGGGACCCAGTGGTTGGGGATTAGACGGGCTTCTCACTCACCCAGATCCTGAGGCTTCTGTTACACCCCAGTGACTGGACTGCGTTGCCCCGCCCCCACCCCCACCTCACACTGAAGCCCTGTGTGGATTCTGTGTTTCTGGGGGAATCGCTGGGTTCCAGTCACGGTGCCCCAGTGGAGCAGGACCAGCAACGTGGGGGCGCTGGTGTTAGGGTGTAGCAGGATAAGGCACCACCTGGGATGCCGGCACCCCATAGGAGCCCCAGTTCAAGTCCCAACTGCTCCCCTTCCAATCCAGTTTCCCACTAATGCGCCTGGGAAGGCAGTGGAGGATGGCCCAAATGCTTGGGCCCTTGGCACCCATGTGGGAGACCAGGATGGAGTTCCAGGATCCTGGCTCCGGCCTGGCCCAGCCCTGGTCTTGGCAGCCATTTGAAGAGTGAACCACTGGATGAAAGACATGTGTCTCTCTACTTCCTTCCAAAAAAAATGTAGAGATAAATATGATGGTGCTTCAAAAAGTGTGAAAAATGGTATTAAGAGATTTATTTTTATTAATTTTATTTATTTGAGAGGCAGAGAGAGAGAGAGAGAGAATGCTCTCATATGTTGTTTCAATTCCCAAGTGCTTTGCAAGGCCAGGATCAAAGCAGACTGAAGGCAAGAGCCAGGAATCCAATCCGGGTCCCCCACGTGGGTGGCAGGAGCCCAACTACTTGAGCCGTCCTCACTGCCTCCCAGGGCTTACCTTAGCAGGAAGCTGGAGTCAGGAGCCAGAGCTGAGAATTGAACCCAGGTACTCTGATATGGTACACAGGCATCCTAATAGGTGTAGTAGCCACTAGGCCAATCAGCAAACTTTTGAGACATTTTTTTTTTTCATAACACACATTCCCATGAAGACTCCTTGCAGACAGAGACTTAGTACGAGGAACTGGCTTCCATGATTACGGAAGCTGGCAGGTCCCAAACCTGCAGGGTAAATCTGTTCACTGATTGGATAAGTCTCCCCCAGGTCATCCAGGGCTACCTGCTCTGCTCAAAGCCTACTGTAAATATTAGCCCCATCGAAAAAAAACCACAACTGCCCAGAAACTTCTAGAAGCATGCTTGAATATCCGGGTACCCTGATCTATCCCACCTGATGCTTGAAATCAACCATCACCTATTGGCGGATATTGGTTCATTTTTAAATAACCCCACTTAAAAGTAGTCAACCGATGTCAAGAGCTGGAGCAGGAGGAAGAGCGCCCTCTCCTGGCTCTTTCTGGGAATGGCGGTCTCTGCGCGCTATTATCAATGCACCTGAAACCTGAGCACTCTCCCCAGTACTAACAGATGCATTTACTGAGCACTTACTGTATACCAGGCATCCCGCTTTCCAGGCTTATCACATTTGGAATCGCTGGAGTCCACCTGGCCAGCCACAGCCTGGAGCTGCCCTGCCCTGGGGGTCTGTTTGCTCTCCATGGCCCTAAGGCAGGAAGGCGGGCTCTGCAGCTCCGGCTCTGGGGCCCGCCAACACCTCTGCTCCCTGCTCCCCAGACTGGGAGGTGTTTTTCAAAAGGGGGTGGCGAGGCCAGGAATGTCCCCTCTCCTGGAGCTTTCGCCCAAACACTTGGTCATCTTCCTTTCCCTGGGGCTGGGGTCTGGGGAACCAATGCTCTGTTCTGTGCTCCCTACTCTGGGCCTTGCTGTTTAGATGGGGGGAGGCAGGAGAAGCCTTAGGAGGAAAATCAGTTCAAAGTTCTAAGACATTCACCCTCCCGGCCCCTCGTCCGGGACGGTCACTGGGTCGCCCCTTCCTGGCCACATAATTTTCTCCCTACTCCAAAATGTCATGCAGGAGAGACAGGAGGCTGGGCTCAGAGCACATTTGAAAAATACCTGATTGTTGTTGACGGAAAACAACACACATGACGAAAGGGAACTGGTAGCACCCACCACACACACACACACACACACACACACGCACACACAGCACCTGGGTTCCATTTCCTGATAAGTCACCCATTCCGTTCTCATCCACAACATTTGGGTAGGGAACCTGAGTTACGAGCTAATACGAAATACAAAAGTTCACAGCATCACATAT